GGTCATCAAGTCCAGCCCCTGTACTAAGGCAGGGTTCAGCAGTATACCTAGGCCATCCATATTCTTAAAAACTCCTAAACAATGAGGACTTCACACTCACATCTCCCTTGCTGCAGATTAAGCCCATTACTTCTTGTCCTACCCTTGATGGACATGGAGGGCAACGGATCATAGTCCTGCTTATAACAAGCCTTAACTGTATCTTTATCTGAAAACTTATCAGGCCCCTCTCAGTCTTCTTTTCTCAAGACTGAACATGCCCAGTTTATTTAACCTTTCCCCGTAGGTCAGGTTTTCTATACCTTATTTTTGTGGCCCTATTCTGGACTCTCTCAAATTTGTCCACATCTTTCCTAAAGTGTGTCCAGTTGTGGGTTCCACAAGACTCCAGCTGAGACTTCACCAGTGCTGAGGTAGAGCAGGACAATTATCTCTTGTGTCTTACATACACTCTTGTTAATAGATCCCAGAATATTAGCTTTTTCCAAAACTGCATGAAATTGTTGGTTCATATGCAATTTGTGATCCACTATAAACCCCCATCCTTTTCAGCAGTGCTACTGCTTAGCCAGTTACTCCTCATTTTGTATTTGTGCATTTGATTTTTCCTTTGTAAGTGTAGTACTTTGCACTTGTCTTTATTGCATTTAATGTTGGTTGATTTCAGACAAATTCTCTAAATTTGTCACAGTAATCATGAATTCTAATCCTATCAGTCAAAGCGATCCCTGGTGTCATCTGGCAATTTTATAAGCATACTCTTCACTCCATTATCCACAGCATTAACAAAAATACTAAAGAGTACAGGACCCAGGACAGACCCCTGCAAGACCCCACTAGACATGCCCTCCCAGTTTGATAGCAAACCATTGAAAATACCTGTATTTAAAAAGAGTAGTTATGAGTTGTAAACCCATCTTATAGTTATTTAATCTAAACCACATTTCCCTGCTTTATGAGACCATCATGTGGGACTGTGTTAGAAGCCTTTTTTTTTTTAAAGTAAGAAAAGAAAAAAAAAAAGCAAACACATCTACTGCTTTCTTCTCCCCCTGGCCAGTAACCCTGTCAAAGGAGAAAGTTAAGAACAAATCATGCCAAACCGACAATAAATCAATGCTGGCTATTGCTTATCATCCTATTACCCTTTAGGTGCCTACAAACTGATTGTTCAATACTTGGAAAGATACTGGAACAAATAAATATTAAAGTTAAGATGACAGGTCTATAATTTCCCAGGTCCCCTTTGTTCCCAGATAGGTATGATGTTTACCCTTTTCCAGTCCTCTAGGACTATCCCTTAAATTGTAGTCCAATTTACAGGAGTACTGCAGTCACATGACAAAAACCAGAGACCTATGTAACAGTATGGGTGTTTGAGCCTGCGTGTTTGTTTTGGTTAGATTGTGATTAGTCAGGTTGCAAGAAGGGTCTCCTATTGATTCCTGTGTTTAATTACTTATTAAATGACAAAAAAAAAAAACAAAAACACAGCAATCAGGAACTATTACCGAGGATTTATAAACTCAGCTATTTAGGCCCTAATCTTATAATGAACTGCTGTGGCAGTCCCCTGGCCTTACTGCTCACAGAGGACCAGGACCAACATTTTGATCCCAGGGTTTAAAGATTTTTTTTTTCCACCCCATGTTCTTTTGTAAGCAAAAAGAGCCATAGCCTTCAAGTATTTATGCACACACTTAACACTCCACATAGGAATTGATATTCTATTATTCTGTTTCAAACAGTCTGTTATACCATCTATTAAATGTTATTTAAACCCCATTAAATGATCATGACCTACTGAAGTGACTACTCGGGCAAGTAAAGTTAAGCATAGACAACAGTATTTGCAGGATCAGGGCTATCGTTCATGTTTAGAGGCAAGAACCTGTGTTCCTCTTATTTTAAGAACTGTTCCCCATCACAAAAGAAATGTTGACTAGAAGAACTGTAGCATTTCAAGGGTAGACAAGCCGAAAGGCAGAAGCACAGCCTCAGCACTGCAGCTGTGCTGTCCCACAGCACTTCAGTTCAGACACTACCTATCTCAACAGTAGGTAATCGCCCATCCCAAGAGGTGGTAGCTAGGTCGAAGGAAGAACTCTGATGTCAACCTAGCACTGCCTATGCTGGGGTGGTGTCAGCGTAGCTCGGTCTCTTAGGGGTGTGGATTTTCCCATGTTTGGATGCTTACGTGGTCTCATATCTGGAGGGTTAGGTATCAAGAAAGAGGAGATGATCCTTGACACCAAACTGTCACAAAATACCCCTAAGCATCAATGAGAGTTTTGCATAAGATGGGACTAGAGCCCAAACTCCTCAGGGTTTGGTCAGTTCTCTCTTTTTCTGTTTAAGTAGAGCACAAGATCCAAAGGGTGTTTTTTTTTTAAAACGTTATTTGCTGAAATGATTCAATGCTCATGCAAGGTGCAAGACTGTCAGTCCTAGAAACTAACTCTCTGTTCAGAAAGCCAGCAGTGTGAATGTTCCCAGTTATTCAAGTTTTAAAAGCAGCTATTCAGTATGAACAACACCATGTCTCAAGATCAACGTCCCACACTCTGGATATCACGTAAATCCCCTGTAGCTTCCTTTTGTGGGAGGAAATTGCAGCTTGTCTTTAACCTGTAGGATTGCTCCAAACACTCCCACCACCAACCTTCACCCAAAAGGTATGTGTTCTAGGTTCCTGAAGGAAAGGAGAAGGTTCTATTTCCAGCCCCTCCAACTAGGATTGCTAATTTTGGTTGCATGTATTCCTGGAGATTTCATCACATGACATAATCTTTAATTAATCTTTAATTCCTGGAGATTCCAGGCCAATCCTGCAGGGTTGACAACCCTACCTGCAACACAACTCCTCCATTAGCATCAGAGACCACTTTTGAGCAGTGTTCACGGGCCTACCACACCTCTCTGCTGCAGCCTTGGTGAGTAAAGAGCAGAATTCAAACACCACTCTTCTGCATGACAGCGTAATACTATTAACCCAGATCCAAAAGGCTTTTGGAGTGAGGTTATTAACGTGGTGGCACATATCCTCCAAATAAGAGCATGTACTTCTAGATCTTAAGCCATTTCCTTTATTAAAATACCTCCCACAAACTAGGTTACTGCTCATAGAGATGTAATCTTTTTCCCAGATGTACAGAGAGCAAAGAATATAAGTTCTTAGTATCTATTAAGTGACTGCCTATTTTGTTTATATTCTTGATAAATTCTGGGAAGACTCCTATACTGAACAAGCTTCAATTTATGTAGTGATAAAATGCAATAGTGCTTCTTAAACCAACTTTAAAGGGCCATCTCAAAAGTCAAAAGGGCAACACATTTACAAAGTTAAGACTGTCACCACTCATCTATCTGGACATGCAAACATGAAGCTCTTTGGAAAAAATACAGGGCAACACTGGGATGACAAAATGTCTCATTAAGTTGACTAGAAAGGTCCAGATTTCACTGCAAAGGCATTTCTCTGAATTTTGTAGCAGATACTACATTATAGCTTGACAGATCACTGAGAAACTCAAGTACAATGCAGTGAATTCTGGCAGAGTTTCAGCTTTCACTTAAGTTATACAAGTAAAAGAACTAACTGATTAAAGCCCTAACCACACGTCCCTCAAAACCTCTCAGTATTTTTAATAGGAAGTATATTACACCCACTATCCTGTCCAAATTCTATTTTAGACTCCCTACCTTCAAATTCCCTGCAGTTTCAAATGGTTTGGCCAACTTTATGTTCTGCCTTTAGCTGTTGGGAAATGTTGCCGTTACAGAGCTGCTGCATTCCACCCCAGACATGATTGCATTTTAACAATGGATGCAAAGACTCTCATATATTCTTACCTTACAAAGGTAAGATTCAACTAATGAACCTCAGACTATTGAGGTTCAACTAATGCTACCTATATGCTTTCAGAGTCTCATCTGAAATGCACAAGGGAAATGCACAGTGTAATTTCAAGTACTGCTGAAGCTGCATGGAAATAGTTTTGAAAGCCACTCTGTTGGGCGGGGAGTGTCTGCCCTTGTTTTCCTATTTCTCTCTCCCCTCATTTTTGATCGGCTGTTGACATTGACTTCACTGAAGACATTTACATAAACACAGCATCTTGCTCCTTAGTTGCTCCTGTTATCTATTCTCCACTGTCTATGCAAGTACTAACATGGCCCTCATCATTAGAGTATCTGTGCAAGACCATTATTTGCCTGTTGTGTGTACGTCAGTGAAGCTCAGATACGATTATGTTAGGTCCCAGAGAGAATTATGACCGTGCATTGGAAATAAACAAGAGCACATGAACTCTGCAGAAACAAAATAATCTGGTTCTCATGTGCTCTTGTAATTAAAAAGAAAAAAATTGCAGCAAAACTGCTCCTACGTGGGAGGGTTTACAATTTTCAATGATCCTTTAGCAGCATTTTTAAGAAGCCTTTAACCCAGGCTCACTGTGGATCACTGAGCCACACCAGCTTGTGTTTCAGGTCAGGAGGTCGTCAGGGAATGAGTGATCAGGCTACCTTCCACCAGCCTGCAAGGCGAATTCCTGCCAGCTAAAAAACTTTTCTCCCTGCAGTGCTGTAGCCTTGGTGGGCCCAGGCTATTAGAGAGAGGAGGGGGGCGAGGTAAGATCTTCCACTAGACCTAGAAAAGCCAATACCTCCCCCACCTTGTCAAACTTTCTCCAGCGAGTCTTCAGGGTTGCAGCTGGGCTGGCTCCCTGCTCTGCTGCACCCCCAGGGCACTGGGCAGGGTGGGGGTGCGGCTGTGGGCATGCATTGGGTGGGTCCTTCATTCCCCCCCACCACCACCACCACCCCGGGAGCCCCTGACCTTGACCGTGCCCTGTGGGGCCTGCGCACTCAGAACAGAGGCACGGAGTCAGGGGCTCCCTCTGGCAGGGCCGCGCCGGGGCAGCTGCCGCCAGCATCAAGGCTCCAGCGAGGAGTCCGCTTGCAGCAGGGGCGCGGCTAGTGCCCGCGGCTCCACTCACCGTGGGGGAACGGCTCCATTTTCCTGCGGGAGCCCTCAGCCGGCAGAGCCCAGGCACGGGGGAAGCGAAGAAACACAGAGCAGCAGCGGCTGCCGGGCTGCGCCTCCTCAGTCCCGCTGCATGCTGCCGGGGCGGGCGCTCCGCTCCGTCCTGCTGCGGGTCACGCACGAGTCACTGCGGCCGGCCGCTGGGGTGCTGCAGCCCCGCTGGCTGCACGGGGGAGGCTAAGCAGGCTGCACGGCGCGATAGCTCCCCCCCCCCTTGCACGGGGCTCCGGCTCGGCTCTTCCTAGCAGCTTCGCCTTCGCAACGAGCCCCAAACGACCATTTTCTGCTCTGGCCTCTCTGCTGCTGCGAGCCGAACCCTCGCTTCCCGCGCCTGGGCCGGGCCGCTGCTGCCTCGCTAAGCTACCGGGGGCAGGAGGCGGCTGCGTTCTCCCGCCTCAGCCGGGCTCGCCGGCAGCTCCGCGCCTCTAACCTCGCCCAGCCCTGAGGGAGCTGCTGTCCCTTTCCTGCCCGCTGTACGCGTGCGAGGGACGCGTCGGTACAACATGGTCACGGAGCAGGCACCCTAAAGCCTCTGTGCGGCTCGTTTGCACGCCCAGAGCCCGCTTCACGGGCGCTGAAGCGCATCCCGCTCTAAGCGGGGCTCACATGGCCTGCCACTGAAACAGGGCCAAGCACCTCTTCCTTGAGCAGAGCAAGCAGGGGTGCTGGAAGGATTTGTATGGGAGGGGCTGAGAGCTACTGAACCACGCTGTAAAGCCTGTATATGATGGAAACCACTTCAAACCAGGGGGTGCAAGAGCACCCACGACAATAAGTCGTTAATACTCATGAGACTAGGGGATTTCAACATACCCTAGGGGCCTATAAGCACTGATGCGTGTGCATTGCTTTTGCGAGTAAAAGCTGTCCCATTGCCTTCCAAGGGCCTGGGCAACTGTCCAAAGATACTGACGTAAATGTCTGCAGGCTTCGGAGTACACAACACCACTATAGGGACTAAACATTTGGGACAGAAGTAGTGTCTCCAGGTCACACGATTTCAATCACACGTCCCACTATATTTGTTTTTCTTAAAGCTCTCTCTCACGGCATATGATGAAAGCCAAGAGTCTCACATCATTTGGGGAAAGAAAAAACAACACCCCTCATGGGGGGGGAGGGGGGGAGACACCTTGAAGAGGTGATGTGATCATACCCTGAAAGTTCAGGAACCAGAAAGGGCTTTTTTGCCCCTTTAAAAAAATTAAGCTAATTTATGATTTTTGAGCTCTAACTCATGATTTTTAAGCACTTGGGTCAGCAAAAGTGGAAAGAAAAAAACAACTAGGAAATCCTATGTAACAGAAATGTAACTGCATGGGAGACCCGGTTACCAGATTTAGAATTTAAAATTAGCCTAACACTCCTAATCTTGCACAAAGTTCCATAAGAGTTTAAATTGCTTTTAGCAGTCAATATATTGTTACATCCCATGGAAAAAATGATATCTCCAGCAACATGGGGCCCTGTAACACGAGGGTCAGGCGCTGTTTCTGTCCGGACCTAAAAGAAAAAGTGCTGACAATTGAATCAGCAACACTACTTGTTCTAACAGCTGGAATCTCCCTGGAGGTTTCCTGTGTAAGTACTTGCCCTATCTTGACCCATATTTAAATAAACTAAATCAACATTAATTACCTGGGCAGTAGACTCTACAGTGTTGGGATGCTACACTATATCAGATGGAGACTTGTAATACAAATAATTTTGTCTTGATTGCTCTATCAATCCTTCTACCATCCAGGTTCCTCAATGAAACATCTCCTTTTCAAGTTCTGATAGTAGAATAATACATCCTTCTGAGACAGCTCCTGCTGGAAATCCAAACTGAAATCCCCATTTAGCCCAGCTTTATGGGCATACTGAACTTTATGCACCTGGATTGTCTGATTGAAGTCAATTTCCCAAGAAGTCACTGGGACTGCTCAGGTGCATAAAGTTCAACATGTGATTGTTTACACATGGTGGTACTAACTTGCAGCTGGGCAAAACTGGGCTGATAGAGTTTTTAATTTAATGCTTTCTATATAAGTTTTGTTTAGGACAAGGCTAACAAGAAAGCTGTCAATTAATTGTGCTTAAATTTTTTGTTCATAAGACTACAATTTCTAGAATATTAAAAAGACAAAAAATCCTAGAGATCTAAGAAATATAGACATTTTGCTTTACTGTAAACTATTTATAGTCTTTGGTTTTAGTTCTAGTAATACAGGTGATTAGTAAAATTGATGGATGTTAAATTCTATCCTATATCAGATCTTTACTCCAATTGCCATAGTTTTGTATTATAATTTGAAACATAATCAGGAACTTGTCTTGCATCTGTTCAAAGTCTTAAAAATATATATATATTTTAAAAGCAGCCACAAATGGTTATAGTTCACTTTTGGAAGTATGCTAACCTTTAGGATCACCAAGCTCATAATTTTCTGCTATGATTAGTACATTTTAGAGCATATAAAGCTTAATACTCCACTTTTTTTAAAACTGTAATTTTTAACGCAAAGTATAGCAATTATCATGGGACAAGGAGAAACCGTATGGTATGTTCACCTTTATTTGGCAGTCTTTGATCTGTGCTAACTTTATAGCTAACTGCCTTCCTCAGAGCAGCATAACTAGAAAATGAATGGTGTTTCCTAATAATGTTTGAGGCCCTGTTTCCCCCTCACAGAGCTTCAGAAGGTTCAGCTTCAAACACCAGCTTTCAAACATTTCCAAGGAAGCATGACTCAGATGCTACTTTTTTTTTTTTTTTTTTAAGAGGAGCAAGGGTGCTGTAAGATGTGAAGTGGCCCAATGGTAAGATTCCTGCTAACTTCTGTTGCAGCTGGATTAGGTCCTTTGTACAGCACATTGGAGGAAGCTACCCTGTGATGCAGTTAAGAGCATTTTAGCTGGGCAGCCTTCAGAGTTCCAGAGTTTTTCAGGAAGGGACTTTCTTCACCAGACTTCCTAAGGTGTACCAGGGAGCTCAGCTCCAGCCCTGGGACTCTTCTAAACTATGTTGGCAGCCAAACTGGACAAACTCAAGCAGTATTCCATTACCCACCTGCACTTTGATCCTGGGCACGACTCAAACCGTGCTGTTTATTCTGTGACATGATCAGTTTCTCTCATTAACCCAAGGAGAGCTTGTATTTAACAGTTAAATTGTTTTAGTCATATACTACATAACTTTAACAGCACAGAAACCAGAGCTGCTGCATGTTCTGCCCTGCATCCCTGAGCCCCAGCATGGAGGATGACCTTTTTTTACCTCTTCAGTCACATCCTTACACAACAGTAACAGCTGCTTTATATAAATAAGCCATTGTTATACATTATAAACCTCTATGTCTCACTTCCCCACAACCTGCTCTCCCATACTGAACACCCCAGGAATCATTCTTCCTCTTCTTCACTTCCTACTTTCTCTTTTTATTCCACTTTCAGTTCTTTCCTGTCTGGGGATCTGCATCCCTTTGTTTTTTGATTAATCATATAACTGTGTATTATACTTAAAATCCTGTAAAAACTTAATTAAAAATATGGGATAAAATTTTCAAAATCACCTAAGTGATTTAGAAGGCTACGTGTCATTATGACTTAGTGTCTAAAGATATATGAATACTGCAGTTAAACACCTGTTTGTGCTGGAGTCCAAGTTCTGGGATCCTGAACTGGGGGAAGGTCCCAAAGCATGGGATCCAGCACAAGCCTGAATGTCTGTCTCACAGTTTTACAGCCCGTTAGCCTAAGCCCCACAAGCCTGAGTCAGCTGACTCAGGCCAGCTGCAGATGTTTAATTGTAGTGTAGACATACTCTAGATCCATTTTGAAAATAGGACTCAGATTCCTAGACTATTTAGGCACTTTTGAAAAATGTACCCCTGATCTCAACAGTGAGACCTGACAGAGCAGTTTAGAAAAGTAAAACAGTAGAAATTGTGATAATCTTTAGGAAAAGGGAGATTGCTTGTGATTTTAAAGGGCATTTAAAATTGGGCAGCAAATAAAAAGGGTTAACTGGCATTCAATTTTTATGACCTAGCATATGTCAAGAAAGTGTATTTTAAGGAGGATGAGTCACAACAGAATGAGGACATTAAACACTTTATTGTAATGTGGACTACTTGGCAGTATATGCTGCTACTTACTATTTTTGTTGATGTCTAAAAAGAAATAAGCTATAATGAAAGTTTCTAGGTCTTGAAATTAAATCCAGAGATTTTCTCTCCCTCTTGGGATATTTTCAGTGTGATTTTTCTAACTCATCTCTAAATTACTAAGAGTCATTTACATCTCATTTATGTTCCAACAAGAAATAAAATGTGTGTATTGGCAATGACTTGTCCTAGATTATCAACATCTGCCTAAGTGCACACATCAATGACTTGTCAACTTTTTAGGGGGAAGAGAACTGCAGTAAGAAAACATTCTGAATGAGGCTGCTCCGTAGATTTCTAGAGGGGATCAGCAACATTAACTCGGGAGCTTTCCAAAGAGTTTTTAGCCTTTCTTTCGCAATCATTTTCAGCCTTATGGAGGTGATTTCCTCCTCCTTTTTTCCTCACAGTGAAACTTGGGAATCTTGAGAGGAATTACTTTTGAACCCAGAAAGAATTTAAAAAAACACATCACTTAGGAGCAGAGGACTGGTTTTACTGAAGTAGAGGCTTCTATCAAATGGAAACTCTAGCAAGAGTAAGTCTACAGTGGGATTTGCAAAAGCACTGAATGTGTTGGCCTGACTCTGCCCTCACTGATGCCAACTGTCACTGACTTCAACAGGAGCAGTCGCAGCATCAACTTTTGAAAATCCCAAGCATAGTGTTGGATGAGCAAACTTTTTTAAAAAGATAAGCTGTTTCCCTGGTTGATAGCCATAATAATACTTAGCACGTCCATAGAGATTTTCATTTTTAAAGGTCTTTAGAGAATAACTGACCTTCACAATTCCCTGTGAGGTAGGCAAAATTAGTATTATTGTCCCCTTTTTAGAAATGGGGAAACCGAGAAAAAGAGGTGTGGTGACTTGGTCAGCATCTCCCAGTGAGTCAATGACCATGTTAGTACTAGAGCTCACTCACATCATCTAAGTATTACTGTTTGTGCTATTATGTCAGAATCTAGTAATGTTAGTAATTTAGGTCTTGTATAAAAAAAGTATTTTAGCATTATACCTAAAACCTGAGAAGCTGCCTTATCTTGAGCCAGTTTGTATAGCACCTAGCACAATGGGGCCCCAACCTGATTGCCCTCTAGGAACTACCACAGAATGAATGTTTAATGTGCCATAAGTAAAATGTATAGGGTTTCTGTCATAGAGTACAATGATAATAGTACTAATATGCCTCTGGAATCCTCAGTAGTGAAAGCTCAGCTTTTGTTTGAGCTGCATGAGACTTTGAAACAAGTCTCAACCAGAAATCTTTACAGTTTGTTGGACTGATGAGCAGAAAAATACAAGTACATACATAATTAAAAACCAGTGCATTTTTTAAAGCAAGATGTATTGTATTACAGTGCTACGTATATTTAAATAGAGACATGACAGTATCTCCTGGGAATGCCCACACCTGTTCTTTGTAATAGTATAGCAGACTACAGTGCTCTTGCTGCTGTGAAGATGTAGTTTCAAGGCACATCATATATT